ACACAGTCACTATTATCACTTTTATATAATTCTTAATTAATTATTATAATTAGTTAATATCTTGACTATCAATATAAAAATAGTAACAGTATTAATACTATCTTAATAATATTATATATATATTATTATATTTTGATTTATAACTTTTATATCATTAAAAATATAAAGTATATTTAGAATATAATTTATATTAAGGAAATTTATAACATTTTTTAGTATAATATTTAATAATTATATGTATTATTCAATAATATTATTCATTTATATTATTCATTCATATTATAACTGAGATTTGAGAGCTTGATATAACAAACATATATTTCTTTAACAAAAATCTTATTTATAACAATATATTGATAATTAATTACAAATTACATTAATTGACAATTAATTATTAACATTCTAACTAATTAAAATTAATCATAATTACAAATAATTTTTATTAATAATTAATTGTCAATTATATCTATTGGTAATTAATTATTAATACTTTTACCAATTAGTATTAATTATAATTATAAACAAAATTTATTAATAATTAATTATTAATAATTTTTATTGGTAATTAATCATTAATATATTATTATTTTCTATTACTAGGAATTATAATTAATTATTAATAATATTCTTTAATGATATTTGATTTCAATTAATTATTAATAATTATAATTAATTATAATTATTAATAATTAATTAAAATCTTTGTTAAAAGTGAATAATAGAGGTATTAATAATTAATTATTAATAAATATGATTATAATTAATTATTAATAGATATAAAAATTTCTTAGTAAGTAATATATAGAAAAATTAATAATAAGATATGATAATAATAATAAATATAATAATAACAAAATTAACAATAATAAAATATAATGATAATAATAAAATATAAAGAAATATAATAATAACAAAGTTAATAACAGAATATAGTGATAGCAATAAAATATAAAGAAGAGTAGTAATAAAATAATAGCAAAAAATAATAAAATATAATGATAGCAATTAAATATAAAGAAATATAATGAGAGCAAATTAATAGCAAAATATGATAAAATATAATAATAACAATAAAATATATAACAAAATTAATAATAAAATATGACAAAATATAATAATAATGACAAAATTAAGAAAAATAAACTAATAAATTGGTTAGTACAAAAATAAGTATTTAAATATGTACCAATTTTAATAGAAATTATTAAATAGTTCTATTAAAAGCTAAAAAAAATTGGGAGAATGTGTTAAAACATAATAAACTAATAAGAATTACTATCTAAAACAAATGGTATTAATATTTCTATACTTGTAAATATATATTTTAGTATTTTCAATACAAACAAGAAAATAAAATACTATATTCAAATCAAATATCTTTAATCAAAAATCAAAATATCACAAATATTCAATTCAAAAATATATTCTATCTTTTCAAAGTTTAAAGACTCAATAAACAAAATTTCAATTTCTCAAAGTCAAATCAATATTCAGTTTCTTGATCTCACTCAAAATTTATAAAAAGTGACTTGAATAACAAGATTTGAAGTTTGATTAACAAATTATTTTAGCCAGGTAACTCTTTTCAATGGAATAAAGATGAAGCTAAATATTAACAATACAATAACAAGGCACAATTAGTCAATTTGTTAAAATAAAGAGAGAATTTCTATTTATACAAAATTTTCAATACATGTTTGATATTATCTAGATTACAAAATATTATAGAAAAAGATAGTTTTTTTGGATTCACTGTCATGAACATTATTGCTTTACTTTCTCTTTTCTGATTGTATTGCAATCGTAAATAAGTTATTCTAATAACTGTTAATTAAATCTATATCATTCTAGATAATTATTCGATTAGTCTGACAATGAACAATGTTACCGTATGGAGTAATAACGATAAATGCTGTAATAATCAACAAAAAAACCATCAAAATTCACTATCAATAAAGTCGATAACTTAATTCGAAAGTACATAACGGTAACGGTAAAGTTTGTACAGTATTTACATGTACTTCCTAATTAAGAATTTAAAACATGCAATTTATTGATGACTATGGTGTGTAACATACAATATCTTTACAAATGAAGGTAATACCCTAATAACCAGACCAATGGTGAATTAAGGGATTAGCATATAGATGCTAACGAAGACCCGGATCAAACACTTAGAAAGTTAACATCTTTATTGGAATGTACCAACCTACAAAACTGGTGCTGATCTTGGAAGGAATCGAACCTTCATCTCAAAAATGAGATCATCCATACAAGATCCTGTGGTGTACATCATTTGGCCAGAAATAGCCTGAACCATCAGAAAATATATAATAGCGAACATATAAATGAACGCATAAATGAACATTAGATCGGAATAACTAATCTTCAGAAGAGAGGAGTTTCCCAAAAGGACCAATCCACGAGAAGAGAATTATAAATCATACGTCCACGAGTTGAATTATCCTCAATCAAGAGTGGTTCCAAAACAACCATAGACTATAGAGGATTAAACTCTACCCGACCACTTCCTCTAGGTTTGAATCTAGTCAGGGATACTCACAGTTAAGAGCCGACAGTCAACAAAGCACTTTCTGATAAAGACCGGAGACAAGATCGAGGAGTATACTACAATGAGGATGTTTGCCGGAGCAAAGCATTCACCGCTTGGCTATGTCCAATATCTAGAGACAAGATCGAGGAGTAGACTACGAAGGAGGTTTGCTGGAACAAAAATGCGTCGAAGTGAGCACCCCTCTGCAGTGAAGATGGTTGTCACAAGGACAAACATGAGATGTTTGTCACAAGGACAATCATGCGTCAAAGATATCTTTCACAAGTTCTGTCAAGCATGCGCCGCCTCACCAAACATTATTATTTAGCGGTTAATGCAACTGCTATACCCAATATACTAGAGACAAGACCGAGGAGTAGGCTAAACAAAGAGGAAGTTTGCCCGGACAAACACACGTCTAAGTGAGCACCCTCTGCAATGAGGTTTGTCACAGGAACAAACACGCGTCAAAGATATCTTTCGCAAGTTCTATCGAGCATGCGCCGTCTCACCAAACATTATTATTTAGCTCGGTTAATGCAACTGCTATGCCCAATATACTAGAGACAAGACCGAGGCGTAGACTAAACAAAGAGAAAGTTTGCCCGGACAAAAATGCGTCGAAGTGAGTACCCTCTGCAGTGAGAATGTTTGTCACAAGGACAATCATGCGTCAAAGATATCTTTCACAAGTTCTATCAAGCATGCGCCACCTCACCAAACATTATTATTTAGTTCAGTTAATGCAACTGCTATGCCCAATATACTAGAGACAAGACCGAGGCGTAGACTACACAAAGAGGAAGTTTGCCCGGACAAAAATGCGTCAAAGTGAGTACCCTGCAGTGAGGATATTTGTCACGGGGACAAACATGAGGATGTTTGTCACAAGGACAATCATGCGTCAAAGATATCTTGTCCTCTGCGCTCTAACTCGGCCAGTAGAAACGAGATGGAGTATTGCTACGGTTACTTTAAATGAAGGATTTCTTCACTATTAGTAAAAGAGTCATATGAGTTGGGAGAGAGGAATAGACTAATAAA